ATATATATATATATATATATATATATAATCAAAACCAATGCATAATTCAGAAATAGCTACAGCATTACAATATTAAAAATAAAGGGGCACAGACCTTCAAAAATGTTAATTACAACCAGATGATTAACACAATTCATGTTAATATATTCATATAACACAAATATTTTTAGGTTGGCATAGCTTGACGAAGTTTCATCCTACAGAACTCAGAAACAGCTCAAGGAGTCTCTGATTCATTAGGTATTACACTGGAGAAGGAGTTCCCACAGGACTGAAGAAGGCAGATAAAATCTTTGAAAAAGTAGATTCATTTATATACTAGTCTGGTCAATTTAAATTCCAAGAAGGATATGCAAACAAATTATTAAGCAGTTTTATAAACTACTGAGAAGATAATACGGTGATAAACAAGCCATAATTGGTTTGTCACATGTAGCTAAATCCAATTTCCCCATTTCATCAGGACATTCTCATAAGCTAACCAGTGAAGTGTTGCATAGACCAATTTACTACGTAGAGATTGTCCAAGACAGATTCAGAGCAGTTATCAGTGATTTCTCATCAAAGGGGAGGATAATTTAAGTAGACACGCACAGCAGTTTACTTTCAGTCCACTTCCATACACTATTTTAACTGATGATGTATATATGATGGAACATAATATACTGAAACATTGCAGATGACATCAAGTTAAGTGTGCCTGGAAGTCCGCTTAAAGATCAAAATCAAAATTCACAATGATATTAGTAAGTTGGAGATGATTCAGAAAGCAGCAAGATGAAATTCAGTAAGGAAGTACAACATATACACTTAAAGAGAAATCAAATGCAAAAACCATGTAGTAAAGTATATAGAAACTGTAAGAGACCACAGATTGAACGGCAGTCACTGTGGTGACTATGAAAAAAAGAAAAAAAATCTCATTCTGGAATGTATTAACATGACTCTTATATACAGAGTTATGGTTATATCCTATGTTATACATAAAGTGGTCATGAGAAAAGCCTCAGCTAGAGTACTCTATTGAGTTTCAGCCACTACAAGAATGGAGAAAAGACCATAAAAAAAAAAAAAAACAAAAAACAAAAAACAAAAAACGAGGCTTGCAAAAAATGTCTGAGGTAAGGTTTAAGACTTGAAAGAAGAACACTAAGGAGACAAAAAACCAGATGTGTGCATGATGTAGTGTTATATATGGGCAATGACCAATTTTTCACTGTGTTAAAATGGAATAACTAGTTACTAGTTTCATTTGCAGGAAAAATGATTTAAAAGACAGAGAAGTTAAAAGATAACCTATCTTCAAAGTTACATTAAAAAAAAATTAGTACCTCTTCTCTTAAAGACAATTTAGAGTTTACTTAAAAGTCAGTGTGTCATATCTTTGCTACTTTAATCTTGCCTTAGAGCAAGTGACTGGATCAAAGCTGCCTTGCAGTCTTTCAATATGGTATTTCTGTAACAGAATTCTCTTTATTACTGGGCTCATTCCATACTACAAATTAAACCATTTGATCTTCAGAGAAGTTTCTTCTTAACACTTCTCAACTAGTGCTTGACACACCCTCAAGTCAGACAATCCTTCCGCTGCTTGTGGTAGTTTCACTTGGCTCCTCTTTCCTTCCTTTGGAAATTTAACATGTGTTCAATTTACATCAGTGTTATTACTGTCCAAATCAGCTTTGTGGCCACATCAGCAGGTGCTGTTTTGCATTTCAACAACTGATTTCACCAGCTAATTGTTAATTATTGGTTTAAACCATTGCTCTTCAATTTTATATACTTTTTTAATCTGAGAATCTGTTAATAAGAACTCCACTGTATTTGGTTTTTTTTAAGCAAAACAAGAAAAGACAAACTAACTGACATATCTCCTTCGAGTAGAAAAGGGTCACAAAGGTCAAAAGCTTACACTGGATGACTTGTGCGTGGCCAAAGATAGAGAACATTTTCATAGCTGTGCATATGAGTCATGAATTCTGCAATCCATAACTTTACTAGAGATAAGACTGCCCAGCAGCAATATTAATCATTAGAAGTTTAGCAAGTGAGTTTGGGGAAAGAAGTTAAGCTTTCAATTTCTTCAGTATTTTAATTCATTAAAATTTATAATCTAAACTTTCTTCTTCACTTTTTAAGAAAAAAACGGATTAATAAAGTGGAACTCTTGTAGTATTCACACTTACCATCATTGTATTCTTGCTGATGATATGAAATATGGTATCTTCGGGGATAAGTCCCCCCCTTTCCAAATTTCTCAAATATTGGAATATCATACTCTAGTAGAAAATAAAAAGATACATTTCAAAATTTAAAATGTGACAAAAGCACATTAAATTAATCCATTTAGTATTATAAACTTAAACATGAGAGAACACATCAGAAGATATGCTTCAAGTTGAAGCATCAGAGCAAAAAAGATTATAGAACAATCTAACAAATCACAAGAACTCAAAGGACATTCAGCCAAATGTGGTTTGTAACCTCTTGCTTAAAAGAATGTTAGAGAACTACAGCATGTCTAATTGCTCCAATTTTAAAAACAGCTTCTAGAGGAATTCTGGGAAATTACAGCTCACCAGGAAAATTGGCAGAAACTATTACAAAGAATAAAATTGAAAGATGCATAAATATGAAAAATTGGTGAATAAGTCAACACAGCTTGAATTACTAGAATACATTCAATAGGTCCTCCTAAAAATTACTAAAGGAGAAAATTATTCCTAAGATAAAGGGAAAAGTCCCTCATGCATAAATAATTGGTTAGAAGATAAGTACATAAGTAAATGGTCAACAGTTCCACAAGAATCTGGGCTACAACTCACGCAGTTTAAATATGCATGAATTCTCTGAACATAACAATGACTAGTGAGGTGACAAAATCATTTGGAGAAACAGAAGAATTAGAAAGCCTTTAAGAGTCTATGCAACTGGGTAGTAAAATGGCAGATGAATTTCAGTGCAGGCTAGTGTAAAGGACTGTGATAGAGAGTTCCAATAAAGCAGCAGCTGAACTCTCTGTATTGGGTAAGAAGCAAATTAAATGCTACAAATCATTAAGATATACTGAACAAAGTTTTGGTCTACTCTATTTCAAAGGATTTAGTAAAACTGGAAAAGATTTAGAAGTACAGACATGATCAAAGATACAAAATTGCTTCTCCATAAGGAATGCAGGCCTCTATAGACTAGAAAAGCAATAGCTTGAAGGGAGACATGAAAAGTTCTATTAAAAAAAAAAAATCATCACAAAAGGCATACTTCTTCATGAAACACAGGAAGCTGCACAACTTCTTGTCACAACATACTGTAGATACTGAAAAAAGTTTACACGAATTGAAATACAGACTGGAAAAAAATGTGGAAGGAAAAAATATTCATCAAATCACAGAGGAGCACCTTGCATTCATAGAACCCTTAAGCTATACATGACTAGGAATGTATTTTGAGGAAGGAATACTACACACTCTTCTGTAGAGTCCTAGTTCTGGCTGTGGCAGAGGGACATTTTTTCTGACTCTATATACTACTGTTTTTTTGTTATACATCAAATCATGAGATTAAATCTTGAATATAGAATTAATGATTGCTGTCTATCCCACTGTTAAAATACCAGAGCATCCCTCAAGAAAGGAAAAAAAAAACAACCCACAGAAAAAAATTGCAAGATCTTATTAGAAAAGTAACCATAATAAACAAACACAATGAAACTAGATTAAGATTATCAAAAGCAAACTAATTTCTGACATTTCCAAGGTTTTTTTGTATTTATCTCTGTCACCCAAGTGCTTCTTATATATAGTTTTAGTTTTATTTTCATTTAAAAGTGGTGCAATCTGCTAAGACCTCTAGAAAAAGATAAAAACCACATCATCACACAGTTATCTGGATAAAGCTTCATAAAGAAAAAGAAGCTTTAAATCACACAATAGGCCAAAAAACACAAAACACCCACACCCTAGATTCATTAGAAGCTAATTATTGTTCAACAGCAAAATTCTGTAGCGAGGCATGTCCATGGGACACACTTCAAAGCACTTTCAAGGTTACCCATTATACCAGAATATCGTATGAAAACTATTATTAGTGGTGACAATTAATTTATACACACAACGCACAGTTCTCCTTCACCCTTTCACTTTACAGTGCTTTCAGTTACAGAAGTCATGAGCACTTCAAGGTGATTCTTATTTCGCAGAGGAGAAAATGAAGACTCCATGTACTGGTTTTGGCTGGGAGAGTTAATTTTCTTCGTATCATTTGCAAGAGGAAGAGTTCTGGTAAGCTAGTATGTCCATTGATTTTTGCCTACCTGAGAATTCCTGATGATTATCTGGATAGCTCTGTGCTCTTGGCATCCGAGATTTGGGATAGTTGTCTCTGGAAGTGTAAAAACGTACAGTATCTAAAAACTGTTCTTAATCTAATACTTAAACATTTCATCTTACTGTCTCACAATCCTTTATGACTGATGAAAAGTTACTGCTGTACAAGTCGCTGCACCAGTTTACAAACGTGGAACACAATTTTGAAAATCAAATCTAATAGGTACCAATAACAATTCAAGATCAGTAACAATGGAAAAGCTTGCTTATTGAGCTTAATGTATTAAGAAAGCAATAGACTCTGATAATGAGCAATGATATTAGTAAAAACATGAATTATCACAAGTAAAGCCACAAAGAAGCACTGTTAGGTTTAATACCTTTATGGCTAAACACAGTTTTATAGACTGGCAAAATCTCTTGTACAGCCTACAAAAACTCTTGAAGAAATTTAACCAAAGAAATTTATAACCTTTTAACATCTCAGAATATTTCCTCTTCTCTCCATGAAAACCACAGGATTAAGAGAGTAATTCTATTGAGTTATAGAATGATGAAGAATTTTTTGGTTCTTATATGATCACATTGTTTCTTACCTACAGTTGGTATGTAACTCCCAGACAACAAAAGGAATGGATGGGATTGCCAGTCAGAGCAACCGATTACAGTATATTTCCATAAACATACCAAAACAATGTCCTCCTTTTTCTGGTAAGAATTTCTCTAATAGGTAACACAAGCTAAATGGAGACACAAAACCTACATCTTTGTAGGAAATATTTGAATGGGGCTAGGCAGGAAAATTTAAAAAAAAGAAAAAAAAAAGACAAAAAAAAAAAGAACAAACTAATTAGAGGTGACAAATGAAGTAAATAAAAACAACCACAAGAAGTACTGAAGAAGAAACATGAGTCAAATTAAGACTGCTTTGTTTCCCCTTCCGCTCAGCCCTACCCCACAAAAATCTAAAAATTTGGTATTTGGACAAATTTCTATCCTATGTAGCTACATTAAACACCATGTATGTAACCTATCACACTCCAACCACAAAATACTTTTCATGTCTATTGTTTTTTTGCTTGTGAAATGGAGACTTACTACTTAACTAAAAAATTTGTTAGACCAAATATATGTGTCCTCAAATCACATTCTCAAATGAAATGGTACTATGGAATACTATAGCTCTGATTAATTGCCACAGGCAATGATTTCCAACTTCTTACCTTTCTACCAATTAAATAAAATATTTAATTAGCAGTAGTATTTGTATAGCAGTTCCAAATAAGTGAGTAGCCAATCTGTGCAGCATAAAACCCAAGATTATTTGCCTGACCAACCATAAGCCACACAGGAGTATGTTCTGTTCAGCTTACCTGGTGGCTGTGAAACTGTGGACAGTGACCCTCTCAAAATACATGAAACTCCTAACAGGTCCATCAAGAGAGATCTCCAGACCCACCACAGTACACGCTGCCGCTTGCTAACTGACAGGTTTAAACAAGGCAAAATAAGTGGAAAGTCTGCAATGGGAACAAGGGGAGTAGAACGGACAGTAACTGCAAAGGAGAGATGGGGATTGTCTGTTGAAGTCTTTAAATGATTCTACCGTCTCTCCTGAATTGGGTACTCTCTACCTTGGAAAAAGAGAAGCTTACTTCATATAGTGGTACCTAAAGAATATAAATGTGATGGGGCTGCTCGCTGCCAGGGCATACACCTTACATATATGTAAGACTGGCAAAATTTAGTAAAAACCTTCAGTACATTTTTGTAGAATCTGAAGTCTAAATTTTTGTGTTCCAAATGCAAATTACATATATTTAAAAAAAAGAAAACTACTTCTATTTTCTGTGCATTAGTAACCAATTAAGTTTCATAAGCTTTTATAAATGTTCTGTAACTTACAGAGGTATTTCTGGAAGAAGTTCAGTAATAGCTGTCACTGGAGAGTTACACTATGTTACAACTGTTACATTATGTGATCTAATAAAGATAAATAATGAATGGAATTCTTACCCATCTAAAGGGCTGTCAAGTGAGGGACAGCTTCCTGAGCCAGAGTTTTCAGGACTGCTCAAAGACAATGGATCCAGCATCTAATAAATAACAAACAGAAAAAGATCAACAACTTCAAGTTTTTGGTGTTTTGTTTGTTTGTTGGGTTTTGTTTGTTTTAAAAAAACTTGAAGGTTTCTGCTTTGAAATGCCGAATAAAACAGAAATATTAACTACACACAGTTAGCTGCCATAGTTGAACCTGCATTGCATTCTACAATCATGAAAGGACTTAATTTTTCTCACATCTAACTAGAATATAGTTAAGGTATTTAATTTTCTATCATGCTTTGTACATAACATGTTGTACGGCCACATTCTTCCTGTATACACCATTGTCTCTTAAAACTATAGCAATATCTGCATGAAAGTAACAGAATAACAGAAGTAAGGCCTCCAAAGGATGAAAAGTTGAGACAGTTAAAAAAATGTGGATTCTGTTGTCATCAATAAAAGAAAAAAAATCTCAAATATGACACCAGTTGTGATTAACACCATTTATATAATCTCTGTAGCAGTTCAAGTTTTGCCAACTAGCAGTCACAGAAAACAGCTGAAAACAAATACTGTACAAAGCTTTTAAACATTTATCTCTAGTTAGGACTCCAAGTGAGTTATGCTGATTTTCAAATAGAACTGAAGAAAAAATGGAAGGAGAAAGAGTGAGAATGCATAAAATTTATAAACACTCTCCCTTTTCACTCAAATCAAAACCCTGTTTCAAATAAAATAAGCTTTCATGTGAAACTGGAGTTTATAAAATCATCAGACTTTTTTTTTCCCCCTAAAACACTTCTGATGACACAGTAATTGACGTTCATGAGCTGTGTAAAATCTGCCTTGTATCAGTCTGAAGAAGTTAAAAAACTGGCTATCTAGGCCAGATCTATTACATAATGAAAAGAGTCATCAACACTCTCTCTGTTTCTCAAACTCTAATCCAGAGGAAAAGAAATGGATTGATAATCAAGAGCATCTCTTTATTACCAGTTATTTCTCTTGGCTGACATCTGTTCTGTTTATCTCACACTACCACCCTTAAAGTCCTAAGTTTAATGACAGGCAAACATCACTCCCTCCTTCTGCAGTAAAACAATCTGAAATGTTTTATAGATTTATTTTTCAGAAGTGGAAACAGAATCTAAATTTTGAATTATTGAATGTGACTATTTTACCAGCCTGTCTCTCAAAAACAGGGTGGAAAGCTCATCTGTTGTCTTAAAATGAGCTCCTTCCTAAAATAAAGTTTGCTTTGGTATATTATATAATATCTATTATTTTCTATGAATTGGACTCCAATATTTTGCTGTAAACTAAGCAGCTGCTCCTTCAACTTTTATGGTCTGTGCTGCGTCTTAAAGGTCCTGGGCATGTATTTTGCCAAGCACTAATCAAGGACTTATTAAAGAAATAGTAGCCAGAAAGTGAGTTTGCACTCTGCAAACTCAAAAAACTTAAATGAGCTCTGTATCAGGGAGTTACCACAGGTTCAGCAATTACATTCCTCTTTTTTCATGCTGAATAGTGGGTCCTGAAAGGGAAGAAAGTCCATCTGCTACGAGATTAATTACCTCTATAACTTAATGCAGTATGGTCCAACTGGCAGATGTATGGACCAGTATGGACCAACATGACCCAATTCTATCGCTCTCATCATCTCTTCTGCAGAGAAAGTGTGGGGTGTGCTGTCAGAGGGTGGACAGCTGTGCTCAGGAAGATAAACAGGTGAGCAAAGCAAAGCCCTCCACCCCCAAATTCCCTTCTTGGCTTTGTGGGGCAGGCTCTAACAGAGGTAGGCAGCATGGTCAACACTTGCCAAGGTAGTGGCAACTTAGGGGGAAGGGAGCAAACAGAGGTTGTGAGTTCCCAGTACCCCAGTCTGACCCTCAAGGGTTGCTTAGGTGGAAGGAACCTGGCTTCCTAAGAAAGTAAAATTCCTGTATTTAAACCTTGTTGACAGTTTACACAGCAATGCATGCATGACAGGTTACATGTTTCTTGAATACTCTGGAGTGAAAGGACATCCTGGGCCTCAGCTCATTATAGAATAGTTTGGTGGAAAAGACCATTACGATCATCTAGTCAAACCATAAACCCAGCATTGCCAAGTTCACCACTAAACCATGTCCCCAAGTACCACATCTACACGCCCTTTAAATACCTCCAGGGACGGTGACTCCACCGCTTCCCTGAGCAGCCTGCTCCAGTACTTGACAACGCTTTCAGTGAATAATTTTTTTCCTAATATCCAACCTAAACCTCCTCTGGTGCAACTTAAGACCATTCCCTCTTGTCCTGTCACTTGTTATTTGGGAGAAGAGACTGACCCCCACCTCACTACAACCTCCTTTCAGGTGGTTGTAGAGAGCAATAAGGTCTCCCCTCAGCCTCCTCCAGACTAAACAATCCCAGTTTCCTTTATTAGACTTGTTCTCCAGACCCTTCACCAGCTTCATTGCCCTTCTTTGCACAGGCTCCAGCACCTCCATGCCCTTCTTGTAGCAACAAGCGCAAAACTGAACACAGCACTTGAGGTGCAGCCTCACCAGTGCCGAGCACAGGGGGACAGTCACTTCCCTACTCCCGCTGGCCACACTGTTTCTGACACAGGCCAGGATGCTGTTGGCCTTCTTGGCTGCCTGAGCACATTGCTGGCTCATGTTCAACCGGTTGTCAACCAGTACCCCCAGGTCCTTTTCTGCCAGGCAGCTTTCCAGCCACTCCTCCCCAAGCCTGTAGTCTTGCATCTATCTGTTGCACCAAAAATGACTTTGCCCAGGCCAAAAGTAATACCATTTCACTGAATGAATCCAGGCCTGTCTGGATCTGACCACATGGCTATGTTAATGAATAGCACCCTGGTCTGGAAATTAGGAGGTTCGGTCTCTATTCCCAGCTCAGTCATTAAAATTGTGCAACAAATTGCACAATCTCTTTGCCTCTATTTTTATTCTATCATCTGTCTCTCATTTAGTCAGCTCATAAAGACCATTGCCTCTTGCCACTTGTCAATACAGCGCCAATGTTAACAAGAATTTGAAGTGATCTGGGTACGCAACTTCATTTTTTTTTTTCCTCCTTAAAATATCCCTTTCTCCATTGCCAATTCTGTAAGCCGTTATATTCGTCCATCTTCTCCTGCTGTTTTTAAGGACAATTTTTATACACACAGAGCAGGATTTTTTTTCATGCTAAGCGTGCTAATATTCCACACCAATAATGCAGGTGAATAAGGAGAACGAAACAGCATACATTTGTGATCCTCACACAAAAATGTGACCATCTTTCAGAGCTTATTTATACCAGGCCCATTGCCATCCCCTTGCCTCTACACCAACACAGTACCAGTTGAGTTCAAATAATTCTGATAGATCCAAATTCTTCTTTAAAACATACTTTAATTACCTAGGAAAGTGGTAAAACTGGCCTTACTTACATATCCTTCTCATTAAAATAAGGGAGTTTGTGCTTTTTAATGTAGACATCTCTTGCTGTAATTTATATTCTACCACAACCTCACTCAACTATAATGGAAATTAATATTATCTTTCTCCTTGTAGCAACACATTTAAATAATTGAAGAGAATTGCAGAGAAAAAAAAAGGTTCTAAAGACTAAACAACAATTATTTTTAGCCTTCTCTCACAGATTATGTTTTCCAGGGTTGTCAAAATTTTTTCAGCTGTTCCTTCTAACAATTCCATATCCTTCTTGAAAAGCAGTATTTCATAAATCAACCTAACAAACACTTAATTTTAATAAATCACACACATACCTGATCCATACTTTCTGGAATGAATTCACCCTCACTGTTGATACTGGTGAAGGATCCATTTCGGGCCACCTGATGCAGCTCATCTGGAATGTATCCTGGGGGAGGTGAACTCCTATCACGGGTATTAGAACCTTTTGAAAGAAAGGGGCTAGTCAGAGTCTCTTCACTAAGCCAGAATCCAGGGGCTTTATTCAAATACTTCATAGGCACTGAGTGTGCCTGGATCACTTTTTGCTTTAGGAATTTCCCAAATGCTTAGGCAATACAAAACTTACATACAGCATTTAAAATCTGTAATCCAGGAATCATGAAAAATTTGGAGCACAGTTGCCTCAATGGCATTTAAAAGATTTTTCATTATATAGGAAAAGAAATATAATTTGCCCACATATCTAGCAGGATAAACTTCTTTTGAAACAAAATAAAAATCCAAACCCTTCCACCCGTGTCAACTAATCCTTTCCAACTCTTGAGGATTTAAGTTTTTCTTTGTCTGCAAAAACATGAGTAATTCTATTCATAATAAATGCATAATAAATTTTTACAATTAAAGCTATTGAAATATGTACCTTACCTATTACAGACAGTCGCCGTTTTCTGTCTGTCACACCAAACACTGTATTATCTAAATCTTCCAGTGAGGGCAAGGGTTCCACGTTATTTACACTGGGTGACTGAAAATGCATACATATTACAAACTGCAGTTATTTGTACTCCTGACAATGACAATACTTTGTAAACTTTTAAAGGCTTTGTGCAGCACGTTCCTTTTTTCTAGCAGTCAAAAAGAAGCCTGCCAATTTATATCAGAATTTTAGTAGCTCATTCTCCGTATTTAAAACTAATTTTCAATATGTACTAGTATACAAATCCTATCAATGTCATGGCTGTGATGTGTTAGATAATACCAAAAAAACTCAGTATTTAGCCTATGGTCCACTGCTACTGTTTGCTACAATGAACATTTAACTTGCCACAAAGGAGTGCCACCAACATATTACTTAAAAAACAGTTTCAAATAACTACAGTTACTTAAATTCTATGTGCTTCTCAAATTTGTATCACACCATCATCTTATTAAGGAACACTTTTCTACCACTATAGAGAAGGCAAGCGAAGAGAGAGGAACAGGATCTAGGAAAAAGTTAAAACCAAGTCAATACAAAATGCTAATAGATGCTTTAAGTGAACTGAAGAAGCAATCAGTAATATTTTCAACTGGAAAAATGTAATCTTTAAGAAAAGATACAAATTATACTTCGATATGAAAACTGGGGAAAAGACATTTAGCATGTCAACTCATACCTGTGTATTTCCATGTATTACAAGTAGTATCTTGAGACTCTTCATATGAACACTACGGTCAAGCAGTTCCACAGCTTTGTCCAGGTCATCCTGTGTGGTTAATGGAATTACAAGCTACAAAAAAGGGAGGAGAATAATAAAAAGAGATGTCTTAAACAGGATACAAAGAAATGAGGAAGTACAGAGAAACAAACAAACTGATGCTATCTTTTCTTTCATTCCAAACAACTTGAAAATAAAATTTATTAAATGATGCCTCAAGTTACCAACAAAATGTCTGAAGTTCAACCTTAATTCTTCCTTCAGATGCCTTCAATAGCTTCAGCATGGCAGAGCAAGACTTCACAGTGAACAAGAAACCATTTTACATACATACAATTTAATATTCCAGAATTTCAGAGAAACATGTGCAACAGTGTCAATGTATATGCCCTCACCTAAATTAATGCAAGTCTATAAGATACATAAAAATAAGTCATATTTTACAGAGCTTAAAGCACATTTTGTATCTCACAATATTACAACTATATTAGTTTAGAGTTGCATCACTAATAAAATTTCTCCATTGAAAAACAGAATTTAAGGAAGTGTTTCAGACATGATGTGATCCACATAGAACAGCTGTAGTCCTCATTGGAATCTTACTTGGATCTAATTAATTTGAATTAACTTGGTATACATGTAACTTCAGAACAGAAAATGTTATGCCATTAAAGTGCAGTTGAGATTCGAGTTCTATAATGATTAAAATTGGGCTTATGTTTCAGGAGTGTAAATTACAATTTCTGCTTGTAACGAAGGAACAGCACAATATAGATTTTTAAAAAATCTATTCTGCTTGTAAAGTGTCAGTCTGTGATGCTCAACTACCACATCAGTTGAAATCCGGTACTTTTATACAAAAAGAAACAGGAATGAGGGAGGAAGGTCTTGATAACAAATGAGCATACTCTTTAAGTTGCAGTTTTAATGCTAATGACAGGTTATTACCATTACATTTGTGAAAGGTGATGGGATGATTTGCCAACTAGTGCAGAAGTTGACAAGCAGAAAAACTGCTCAAATGTCTAAAAATCTATCAGAAGAAGAAGCTGAGGCTAAAGCATCATGGATGGTCGTTTCTTCTGACTTTCCTAATCTCCAAAAGCCTTCTGCAGGAATTCTTCGTTTTAAGGGTCAGTTTCACAGAAGTGCCTGGTAAGGTAGTGAGTGAGTAACCAACAAACAGCAATTACCGGCAAAGATGCAGATTAGATACAGCAATTACATTGTGCATAACCGAGCACACAAATAGTCCTCCAGGCACTTTGCTGACTCAAGGCAAAAACCAGAAGTAACTTTTAAAAACGGATCCCGCATCTGTAAATATACTTCCTTCCATCTCTACTTCTAAAGGAAGGCTGGAAGTAATATTGATCAGGCATAAGCGGCTTGACTGTGCTAGCACTGTTCCAAAGAAGTCTTTGTGAACCAGGCACTTTAAGAGGAGCAACGGTTAAGCCTCATTGTCCAATCTAAACATTACTAAATGCAGCATTCTTGCAATTACCTAACAAGAATAAAGGGAAAAAAGCATACAAGAAAGGATAAATGTTATTTCAAATTTACAAGCTTGACAAAGCTCAAAGAGGTAAACTTTCCCAAAGTCACACATCACGACTGTGGCAGAGCAAGAAGACAATTTACCCATTCCCAATCAAGTCTGAAACATAACTCATTAAGATATGACTCTCCGCACAAAACATTTCATGTATCTCCTGCCTATCCTAACTTAGATAAGCCTTACATACATGAGAATACACACACTAGAAATCTGAGGTTTTGTCACAGGAGTAATTTTTGTCACAGGAATAGTTCTCACTGCTTATGAGATTAAATTTCAGCCTTAAAATAATCAGTATACAAGTCACTGAGAATTTAGAACACAAAGAATATTACCTCATTATTGCTGTAATGTAAATCCATAGTCTGTCCAAAAGCAACTTTAGCTTTAGCTGCAAGATCTTCAAGTTTAACAGGCCTTGGTAATTGCAGGATTCTGAAACACAAATTAAGTTATAAGGTATTTTTGTCCATTACTTATGAAAATCTGTCAACTCATTATAATAAGAACAATCCTAGAATTAAATTTATTAATAAAAAGACCATAGGAGGCTATGCTTTATTCACTGTCCTCCATATTCTGAGTCATTAGAAAGAGAGAAAAGCAGTGGAAAAGTTAAGGGACAATCACCCATAAAATTAGATCTCATTATGACTATTTTATTTGCTTGCATATGGCTTTTTTCTTAACTTAATGCTTTCCATGCCTGCATTCCAGAGACAAATTCTTAGGAACTTCTAAAATTTTCTCCTTCAGAAGAACTAAGACAATGGAGTACCATAAGCTGCCAAGCATAAGTATCAGAAAGGAATTACTCCTATAGTCCCCATTTCTTTGGAAATCCAAAAGACTCTTATCTGAGAAAGGCAACTAAATGTCACCATCTTTACCACAATGAATTACATGCTCAAACTGCTGAGTCCATCACTAACTGTGTTTCAAACGAGCTCCTGTGAGAATGGTGCAGTGGTAGGTCAACGCTTCAGATTTTCTTTTAACTTAATGTCTCATCAAACCAAATAGCCCCCAAAATGCCTGTAACTGACCTTTTACTATAGAAAACTGCTGTATTCTTTGAGATACAACACTGTTAAACAAAAATAGCTTTTAGAAGTGACTAAGCTAGTGAGGTACATTCAATTCACACTCAAAAAAGAAATAGCACTCAAATTTTGTGAAGTAGAAAAATAAGCAGAGGGTAATTGTCCCTTTTATCAGTGTTTAATTTGGTACACTGGCTAGGAAATAGTATTTCTCAGAAATGGGGCTAGAAGGCAGGCTACTTCCATTTAAAAATTATTTTGAAAAAATAAAATCTTAAAAAAACCAAACCAAACCAAAAATGACCAATTCTCATTGTACTTAACAATTTGTTTAGCAAGTCTGGAACTCTACCCATCACATTGCATGCTCCTTGGTACAGAGTGCCACATTCACTATTGAAAGAAACTCTGGAATCACTTCTCTTTTCCACTTCCCTTTTTAAAAACTAGTGAGAAAGCCATTGCATAACTTATTTTTCTTGCATAATTTCATTATTTTATCTTTAGATCTACATGCTCAGGCAACAGCAGTATTGTAACTCATGCTGAGCAATGAGTCTGAGCTGCCCCGTACCCCTGGGCAAGTAGCCTGAAGGTAATTGGAACACTCCAAAACAGAGCTAGGCTTATCAGCATAAAAGCCTGGGAAAGGTATCTTTGCACACACTTACTTTATGCTTGTGTTCACATTGAATTGATTAACTTGAGTCCACTGTGAAAGTGAATTAAGATAAACTGTAAAAATGCACTGTGCATGCAGACTTGCAGCAAGTAAACAGTCCCCTGTTTTTAAATGCACGCTTCCGCTTATTTCACAAGAAATTGCTAGGAAGAAGAGTCCTTAGTTATCAAAGCTTTTGCAAAGACTTATTTTCTCCAAATTACTTATAGCACTCAACCATTACCAATGCACTGTTACATGTGACCTTCAGAAAAGTGAAATAAAGAAGCTTAAGAATGTTATTACCTAGAACTTACTGCTATTTCACTACCCCATGTAAAGAGAGAGCACATACTGTAATCAGCATGGATACACACTGATCTGTACATCACACTAAGGACTGCCCAGAAGTAGCACAGGTTTCATTCTGAAGCAATCTTTACTTAAGGAATTTACCATTTCTATTGACAAATAGCGTGACCAGGATATTACTTCCTTTTTAATTAAGTATTTCCAAACATTTTCTTCTATAACGATTTCTCTGTAGGTACAATGAAGGTTTGTGCTTTCAGAAAGAGACAAACAGACAAAATGAGTTGCCTACAAACCAGTTCTGCATGGAATTGTAGATCAACTTCTGTGAAAGCTTTTCAGCAGCCATCAGAGCAGATATATATATATAGTCTGTATGCTTTAAGCATGTACATCATTCACCTCTCATACACAAAATGAAAATAAATTTTAACTGATCATTCAAAATTAATAACGTAAACAATCTAATTATCAAGTCTAATAAATTTTCGTATTACAGTTCTCAGATTAGTTCCTCCAAAGTACAATCCAATATTGAGCTTTAAGATCTAGGCTTCTTCCTCTGGGTGTTACAGTAACAAAATATTATAATGCATTTATTATGCATATGATGCAGCAAAAAAAATATTCGCTGGTCTAATCATATTTGAGATCTATGCTAATGATCTAAGTAATTGTTCTAGGCTACAAACATCCATCTGAAGGATAAACATATTAAGGATATTACATGGGACATAGTTACAGTAAGATAATTCTGCATTTATGTATACTTAGAGTCAACATTTTAAACAGATTAATTCTCCTTAAATTATGTTCATAACAAAATTGAATTTAAACTCAAACCAAATAAACTCAGATAGCTGAAACACTCTGAATGGTTTATTTGAAACTTCATGGTAGGAGCCCAACAAAATTCTATAAATAATTTAAAAGACAAGATTGTTTCCTGTGTTCCCACCTTACCTTTTTTCACCTCGATGCTCAAACTTGACTCTAACATCATTCTGTAAGAAAAGAGATAAAGGAAGCACTATTAGTTTGCCACTAACTCCTTTAATGAAGGCTATGAAATTCCACTCAATAATCCTAAACTAGAAGTCAAATCCTTAAGCAGTCCATATTAATTTTCTGTCTTTTCTGATATACCAAGCATTTTAACAACCTACTTCAGCTGAGGTAGCCAATAGAGGCTTAAAGTGTGCAAGCATACAAAAAATTATTCTGAAGTAAAACAAATGCTTCTGTAGTAAACACTTTTTTTCTATCAGTATATTTTAATATTATAACAGATTCATGATTTCAAATTCAGCATGGAACTGATTACCACAGAATTCTCCATCACGAACAGGCAGGTAGACTTAGCCATAACAGGTTTTTATGTACACTTGGGAGCTGAGTGTTCCAGGCTTAAGAAACATATCTTGTTTCATAAGCATTACCATAGAAACCCACACATGTAATTAATCCAGCATTCATGCAATCAATTTCCCAGTAACAAAGACACCTGTATATATATGCAGTTACATGGAAATAGGATTGTTTTGCCAAAATAACAATTTTAAGATCAAATTGTATCAGCAACTATTGCAGGAAAAAAAATAATGCATTTAACACAGAGATTATATCCAAATAACAATGTTGTATCTTCCAAAAGAATTATTGGGTTCAAAAGTGATAACTTTCAAAATTAACAAATTTAAACAGAATGACAAACATGTTTTTTTTTCCCCTCACCATTACCACATTCAAATTCAGAAATGGCTCAACTATTTTTCTTCTAAATTTCTAAAGATGTATTATATTCAAATAATTTTGGATCATACATGCACATTACTTCAATGTCTAAAGTCACAGCTTGGCAGTGAGCTACATGACACTAGCAAAGCACCGTTGTGTTATATACTGAACTCTTAGAGCTTTTAAAGCACAGAGTGAAAAAGATGTAGTCACCAGTTTTTGATAGTTTAAGAGCCAAATACATTAAAATACTTTGATCTTCAGTAAGTTAAAACAAGACTGCAAAAAATGAAGTTTCGTGAAATATTGGCCTTTCAATTAAGGATCCAATCAAATAAACATACAGTTAACTCAGAGCTATTAAAACAATTTGGGTAAAAATCCACATCCTCCCCTCTCCTAATCTCTCCAGACATACATATCAAGTAAGTATTTACTACTTTTGCATCAGTAGTTCAGTATCTGCAGGAAAAAAAAACAGAGCTGAGAAGAACTCACGTTTCCAGCATATGAACAAACAACAAATTGAGAGCAAAGATGCAGTGAAGGAGCTTAAGCACATTTTTGTTGCTGCACTGACATTCTTTAGTATGACACAGCTGATAACTAGGCAACCTAGTATACCTATAAAATTCATTCTAAAGAAGCATTCCAAATTAAAGATGCCAGCACACCCTAATATTTTAAAATAGTCTAGTACCAATCAAGTAGTAATAACAATAATAACAAGAACAACAATAATAATAATCTACATACTGTGTTAAAATACCTCTATGATCTTCAATTTATCAGGATTGGAGGCATTTAAGCATACACTGTGATCTAGTCTGAAATGCCACCATTTCAGTTTGCTGCTAATTTAAGAACATGAACAAAGAAAATGGCAGCGCATGTGGGAGACTAATAGCTCATTCTGGTATGCTCACTGGTCTGGCAAGAAAAATAATTATAGAAGTCACAGCAGGACATTCTGTGCTCAATAGGTTAGTAAGGATATTAAAGATTACCTGTTTTTTAGGCGATGATGACTTTGGTTTTCCTGTTTCTTGCTGGGGCAATACAGGACGACTGGCCTTATGAAGCACAGCTAAATCCTGCATGATTGAATTCAAAGCTTGCTGTTCATCTGCTCAGAGAAAAAGACCAGATAAAAGAGTGTAAGTGACTGTTATATTTGAAATGCATTACTCTCTCATTTCACAATTAGGCAGGCATTATTCTAAAATCTACAAGTCCATATTACACTTCAATACCTAATTACCAAATTAAAAAAATTACTACCATGTTGCAAATATTTTTATTTTATTTATCACTAACAGTGCTTAAGGAAATAAAGAGCTTAACCAGTAAACACACTTAAATGGCAGGTTTAACAAAACTGAGGTCATGACAGATACTGACAACTCTACAGAACTGCAGGCTATATTATTGGAAGAACAGCAGGGGAAAAAAAAAAGGAGTTATCTACTCTGTTTCAAGTGATATTCATGGATGAGCTGTCAACTAGAAATCATACTTCCCCATCCCTCCCAGCCACCAGTTCATAAAATGAAGAAAAATAAAAGCAAGTACTTTTGAACCATTTTTCCTCTGTCCTGAACAGGTACAGTCATGCACACAGGAAGCACATATAAACTCCTAGAGGAACACCTCCACTGCTTGAGCATCTGCTGATGGTCCACAGAGTAATTAAAAAAACAAAACAAAACAAACAAACAAAGAAACAAAAAAACCCACCCAAAACACCACAAAACTTTTCCACAACTGCAAATATGGGGCGGGGGGGGGTTTAGGGATTACAGGAGTAATTCACAAGGAAAACAGAAGTAGGGGCAGGAGTGTTATGCAGCTTAGATTTCAAGTTCACACAAAATCTGAAATCCTGCTGATCTGCTGCAGCTGTGATGACCTGAGGCCATTCTAGACAAGGTTGCCCCTGGAAATGGGATGCTCCTTTAGACAGGAAAGCACTTCAGAGCTCAAAAGCCTGTACATCCATCACTAAGGGAAGTTTATTTGTCATTAATATTTTGTATTAATTCATTGCCATAGCAATGGTACTCTACTCAACGTGCATCTAGAACACTGGATAACAGAATTTATCTACAAAGGTGTTGATTGTATGCCTTCATGCTACTTCAAAATGAGCACACTTCTTGAAGAATTCATTTCTTATGGCTGTTATTTACAAAGAACAGTATTTCTCAAACATGCATCTGAGAAAAACTCAACATTAAAATCAGCAAGCAAGCATTCCAGGTGTTTGCCAATGATGAGAATTCCTTTGTTCTCTCGAAAAATCAGTATCGAATTTTAAGTAATACAAATGTGCAACGTATCTAGAAAAACACAGTTAGATCATCTACACAGTTCTGGCTTTGCTCTGGAATGACACAATACGATAAAATTCTTTAATACAGACTTTGTGTTGGGCTGTGGGTGGTTTTTTTGTGGGTTTGTTTTGGTTTGGTTTTTCCCCAGTAGCCATAACCATTGAGAGCACAGCAAATATTGCTCAGTACCCAATTGCCATGAATCTCAATTTCCTATACTTGGATTTTTAAGTTACCACACAGTGAGGGAAAAGTGCTACATTCCAATGGAAAAAAACCCAGAAGTATTCTGAATACCAGCAAAGCAACTGAACACTGCCTTTCACGTCGGCATTAGATTGAGTTACACGGCCAAAAAGCACACATTTCCTAGCAATGATATTACATCAACGTTCTTGGTCTTCAACAGAAACTAAAAGTATCTGAATTAATTTTTTATATACATTACACACAAGACTTACCCATAATGGCAGTGAGCCTGAAAACTCGAACTTCAGGGAAATGGTTGCTTCATTAGCATTATTTTATTTCCTAAAATGCAAAACCAAAACCACACAATTATTGAAGTTGTCAAAGCCACGTGAAACAGTCAACTCTTCATTGTTTACAGGTAGATTTTCTAATATTCTTCATATCAAATACGTGTATAAACAAGTAAGATTGCATATGTAGATATGACATGTGTGAAAAAACAGATATTGTCCCCAAAGCCTCACTGGGCTCTGAGCAACACATATAGACTTTCAGAAGACACAAAGCCTAAACTAAACATTCTTCTAGACTTAAGCTGATTTTAGTCTCTGTCTACACCCTCAAATGATAAATAGTAGCTTAATTGGCCACAACACTCTACTACATGGGATACCCACTACTCCAGATTAAGAAACGATTCTTTTTCTACAGGTTCCTGTATCTGGTGTTCAAAGTTCTGTGTTGAAAACTACATATATATAGTTCATATATGTAGAAATATGTATGAAATGCACAGCACTAGAAAACTTCAATTGGTAAGGTTTTTTTCATCATAATTCAAGAGTGTTACAGAGATATTTCAACACCTCTGAAAGCAAATGCTTCTGGAAGACAGCAGGTATTAACTTTTAATATACAAGTTATTCAGAAAAGCAGAAACAAAGAGGGCACGTTTATGAACAAACCACGTCTATCACAGTATCTTGAACATAGGCCAACCGAAGTAAACAAACACACACCACAACAAAACAATAATTAAGGTCAAATTGAAATAGTCTTTCTATAAGATGCTATTATAGAATCACAGAATCATTTTGGTTGGAACAGACCTTTAAGATCATAGAGTCCAACCACTAACTTAACACCGCCAAGTTCACCACTAAACCATGTCCCTAAGCAACGAATCTATACATCTTTTAAAAACCTCCAGGGATGGGGACTCCACCGCTTCCCAGGGCAGACTGTTCCAATGCTTGACAACCCTTATAGAACTTAACAGCAAAAAAATAAAGACACATCCCTAAATAGGTAGTGAGATCTGCTGTAATACAGGTCACCACGGGAAGAATTCAGAATTTTTAGTGCAAGATCATAGCAGACACCTCTCTAATTTCTTAAGTAGTCACTGCAAACGAGTAGGGAGAGCCTATTCCCTCCTGCCTTTCCCTGGCTGCAGTGGACATCCATCCTTCTGACTCAGAAATGACAGATCTATGCTACCCTGATAAAAAATTATTTCCCTGCAAGTTCATTCAAAGAGCTACATCAACAGAATGACTCTTTTTTAAAAACAAAACAAAACAAAACAAACAAACAGAAGTTGTTTTCTCATGGCTTAGTTGGCTACCAGTGTCAAATGACCCCTGATGCCAGCACAGGGCCACCTGTTAGAGCACATGGCTAAGAACAGAGGGGAGGTGGCCCAGCTCTTTCAGCACCAGCTCTTTCAGGTTTCCTTGTTCCTTCTTTCTGCCAATTTTCTGGCTCCCATCAAATTAATTACAATTTTCCAAAGGATTTCTGAACATCTTCAGTGAGACATCTCAGAGTTTCTGGCATTGTGTCTGTTATTCATTTCACAAAAACAACCTTTTTAAGCAGCATTAATTTCACCAGTGGAACTAGAAAGCTTCAAGTACTTACAGCATATTTGTCAGAAATAAATTTGGACTTGAGAGCCATATAAAGCTCTCTGCTGTATACTGCCTCTCACCCACTTCAAGCTCCATAATAAACAAGAAGAGAACAAGCTTTTAAAGAAGATCTGGAGGTCCTGCTCTGCAATTAGAAATCAGCTCAGCTGAGAGAGCACACAAGAGAGTACATTAGAACTAAAATAAAGCCAAAAATATGATTCAAGTGTATTCAGAGTGACATGCTCCCAAGTCAATGGACAGCCTCAAAACAGCACCTGAAACAGCTTCCAGGTGTTGTGGGAAAGAAACTCCCATCTAATGCTTTGTAAAGTATTAAAGGTCACAAGCGTGGGAGAAGTCTATCCGGCCTGGGCTGCCTGCAACCTCAAGACACAACCCCAACTTTTAACACTAACAAGGTCTCCAGCCTCTTGATGTCACCACAGGGGGAAACAGAAAGATCTGTTTCAAAAAATTAAAAAAGAAAAAGCTTCTGCTGCTCCATAACAGAAAATTAAACTGTAAAGATACAAAAGAAAGGGATTTGTACTAGTCTTCAGAGGGGAAAACAGCAGATGAATTTTCATTTACGTGCTAAATAGTATTAGCCAACATCACTCAAGGACAGAATCATTGGGCCTTGCTCTCACACAAGATGTCAGGTTTACTTCAGTGAACTGGGATTATCTTTGTAGCGTTAAATATCACAACTAACGTGTTTCCCCACACCCAATTCTTTGCGTCTTTTGCATCCTTAGGAGTCAAAAAAGCAAAACAGAACATATATTCAATTATTTCATACACTATAATTTTGGTATCAGCAGTAGTCTTGGGGAATCTTCCAAATAATTATTTACTAAAGTGCTTATAAAACATTTTTTAAATTCTGTATTTGATCTAACTGTCTTAAAATGACAGCTAGCATAATTTTCATAAAATGTCTGATCTAATTAGCTTTCTTAATACCTCAAACACAGAAATGTGTTTTATGACTTTGGATGAAGCATTTCTGTAATACTTCCTTGTACGCATTTCAAAGAAATATAAAAGTTCTGTGAGGCATTTTAGATCTTGTGCCACACTTTCAGAAAACAAGAACAAGTTATATCTCCAAATAAAAATACCCTAGTTGTTCTTCCTCAATGTAGCTAAAATAACCAAGCTTGTAAGCTCAAGATATTTGAGCTACAGAGCTCATATAAGGCAGGCAAGCTGAAGAAGAAACATCTTAGGAAACGATATCTGCAAGTTCCTCCAGCTATAAGAATTTATTCTTCAGTATTAATCTGGGGCATCTCTCACTAGAAAATAAGCTAATGAGTGAGCATGCATTTCTTTTCCCTTCCACTTTCTGTGGCATCTCTCACTATAAAATAAGCTGAGTGAGCATGCATTTCTTTTCCCTTCCACTTCCTTCTTACTCCTTAAAAGGAAAAAAAGAACAAAAACAAAAAACCCAGACCTAGAAAAATTAAATTTCTTTGAATAACTTAAGAGATTTCTTGCATTATCATGCCTTTTTACCAAAATCCTTTCTGTTCAAATATAAAGTATAATTAATCACCAACTAAACACCTTAATCTAAGATAACAACATTAAGATTTCAATTAAATAGGTGACCCAGATCAAACTTTATGAAGAGTTCACCTTGGTGAACTGAGAAAACACTCCTGTTTTTAAACGCTCATTTTTGTGGTAGACTATAACCACAGGGTGGCAATGGGGAGAGACTAAAAAAAACCTGACAAAAATCAACATTTTTTAAAACAAAAAAAGATATATTCAACAGAAAGGGGAAAAAAGCATACCATAATCCACGGTTACAAAGTAGCATTAGCAAAAAACACACACAGAGTAGATGACAACCTAGGACAAAAAGGAAGCGAAAGAGAGAAAAATGGAACTCGGAGGAAGATTCAGGAGGAGCAAAGGCAGCAAAATACAAGAGCAGATGCAAAGGTAAAATAAGATTATGTCCAGGTTTTACAGAGAAACACAAGGAGCTTGAATTTGAATATCATTAAAGAAAGGATGACAGAGAGTGAATTTCAAAAAGGTGATGATGTGATAAGAGTAGCAAACAAAGAAGAATATCCTAGCAACAGCATTTTGGATATAAGGGTGGGGAGATGCTGATTCATATTCATGATTCACTTCTCATCAGACACCTTCCACAGTGCCTGGAAGTCTTTCAGAATCTGAGAAAGCCACTGCCGGAGGAAAATATCCAGGTGATTCCTGGAAATTGTTTTTAGTTTTCTCATGGCAAATGAAACAAAGCCCAAGGGCAAATAAGTCATGCAGACAATAATCTGTGCTAATTGTCCATAGGCATACATTTCTCCTATAATAAACATAACAGAATTAAGCTGCCTCTCAGTTACTGAGAGATAAAAGTACACAAATACCAGCATACATATTACATAGTCTCTCATGTCTGGCTTGGTTACATCCAAAATTTGTAGGCTAGGGAAAAAAATAAAAAAAAGAAAAAGAAAAAAAGCTTTACCCTCACAGCAGAGGAAGAAAGCAAGCAAATGCTACGCGAAGTGAACATTTATTAAGTGAGCTAGAAAGTGTGTTTTAGTTCTGTGGACTATGGAGATATATAGCATAAAGAAAGGAAATCGTTTCTATAACACCCAACTTCATACAAAAGTACCATTTTTAAACAGGAAAATTAGCTGTGGCTACAATGAGAGCCATAAACCCATCACAAGAACAGTAAAGGTAGTTTATATGCACTTAAGAACATAAGCCAGCTTTCATGCTGCCTCAGATGTTAAAAAAAAAAAAACAAACCAAAAACCCCCAGTGACACAAGCAATCTATCTTAGTCTGATTTTGTAAGGAATTCAGACTTACACAGTAACACTTTGCCTACATAGTAAGGTGCCTCACATCTTTGGAGCCCCAACCTGTTCCAACAGTGAGGCAGGAATCTCAAGGATACCATTTCCCT